GCAAGCGAGAGGGACCGTATCAAACGCTTTTGCAAGATCAAGGAACACTGTAAGGACTTTCTTATGTTGGTTAAGTCTTTCAACTATTCCATTTACAAGTTCTAAAGCTGCAGAGGAAGTTGATTTCATTTTCCTAAGCCGAATTGATTCTGGGACAGTAACGCATTAGACTTCAGATAATTAATAAGCCTTTTATTCATTAGACGTTCCATGACCTTGGAGAGTGCTGTTAGAATGGCAATTGGGCGGTAGTTATTGACAGTAGTACGGTCGCCAAAATTAGATGAATGATTGCCTTTTTAAACGAAGATGGGAAAGTGCCGGAGGCAAAGCACAGATTGATAATATGGCATAGTATGGGTGTTAGGATTACAGAATATCTCTTCAAAAAAATTGTAGAAATGCCATCATGACCTACTGCGGTATTCGATTTTACCACGGTGACATTATAGTAGAGGGCTACTTCGTCAGGGTCCGTATCTAAAAGAACAAAATTGAGTTTCGACATCCAATCCTTGAGGTCATTGGTGGGCTTACTTGAAGGTATTGGTGTGTATAGTTTTTTATATGATCAGCAAGATCCTTTCCGATGTTTACAAAAAATTCATTAACCTCGTTAACAGATGGAGAGTAGGTTTTGGTAGAATTGAATAGCTTGTTGGTGTTGGTGTTCGTGTAGTTTTTGTACTATGTATCACGCGTTTTACAGTATCCCATATTTAATTAGTGGTACCAGCTTTGGCTAACTCATCCGAATTAAATTGTCGTCTCACTTTTTTCAAGATTTTGTTACAATAATTTCTATATCTTGTATAGGTAGTTAGCAATACTGTGTTATCCGGCGACTGCCTACACTTTTTGTGCATTTTTGTCTCTATTTCTCATGCATCTTAGTATCCCTGGGGTAATTCAGGGCTTTAAGATTCTTTTATGTTTTGAGATATGCTTTGTCGATGTATTTTGCTTAATTGTCTGGGAGAGTGCTTGAACAAGACAGTTTGTTGCGGAGTTGGGTTCTGACATAGCGAGTATGTGAGAGGGTCAAGTCTTTCCATTGATTTGTTGAGAGAACGTAGTTTGTTTTTATTATGGAAGTGACTGGATGATTGCACTGTGGCTTTAGGTGTAGAGAGAGGAGGGTCGCAAAGAGGTCAGTTACCGTAGACTCAAGAACAAAATAGAAGATGGTTCTCAGTATAGTATGGTCAAGACAGGTAGAGCCCCAGGTAGGTTGGTAGGGGTATGAGTTGGGCAGAAATCCGTGGTAAGCGAGAGATTCAGGTAATCATGGGTTCGATAGTCCATGTGGTTGTTTTGATCTGCATTGATGTTAGTATTTATGTCGCCGGTTATAACAACTGTTTTGAATCTATTTAAGGAACATAATAATTCGTTTAGCGAGTTCAGGAAAATTTGAATACAATCGTTAGAGGGAGATCTATATATACAAAGTATAGCGACATCCGTGTCCAGTTCTATAATTAATCCAGAAGGCAGACCCTGAAAATCAGGCTCGCGGGTTTATAAGCTAATTTGATGGATATATATACAACCACGCCGTCACTCTAATTACGGTAGCTATTGATATGGCTTATGGAGTAGTTACGGACCTGGGGCAAGCTAGCATTACTAAGACAGGGGAGCCAGCATTCGGCGAGAACAATAATATCGCATTCCATGGGAAGACGGGTAAGGAGTGTTTCAAAGTTATGGAAATTATGATTAATTGATCTAATATTTTGCGAGATTATATTCAGGTAGTCACCCGGGTTTTTAATTTATTTATTACAATCTTCAGGTTTACAATAATATGATTTAGATATAGAAAGATTATCTAGTTGGCTATTTAGTAGATTTATATCGCTAAGCATTTGTGGTTATATAAGGTGCAAGTGAAAGATGACTCAGGATAAGTCTTAGATATAGATGAAAGCTTAATAATATGAGCACTGGGTTTAAAGCAAAGCGTGATTTGAATGTACGTGTATGTACTTGTATGTATCCAAAGGAGTACGTGTTGCGAGGGAAGAGTAGCCATTGGTGATTTCGTAGCCTATGTAGGAGTACAATAATGTGTTTTGATAAATATGTTTATGTAATCTGAGTGGTAAATGTGTGTTCATACAATGATAAACAAAATTCTACATCATCAAAATTAGAATTACAAATAATTGACTCCATAATAAAAATAACAACATAAGAATGATGAATAACTGACTTAATAAAGAAATATGAAATAAAATAAAATAAACAAAGCTGACTTGTTAAAAAAATCATTATGCATGCTGATTGAAAAATAACTAGATAATTGTGTAGTCATTGACCTTTCGACAACACAGCGAGACACTTAGCTGTTTTTATGTCACTTGGTTTTCCGTCGGGGATTTACGCAGCACGATTTTGCCGTTGGAAATACCAGCTAGAATAGTTGTGAACTGTAGCGAATGTGCGGGCTTCATATAAAAGCTTTTTAAATGACGGTGGAAGGTGCTCGTCTACGTACACCGGTTTTTTATCTACCGGTATTCCAATCAACTGAGTGTTTAACTTGTTTTCCAAAGTGTGTTCTTTGTTAAATTTCCTCACATTAGCTAAGAAATTGTTTCTGTAATTAACACTGGCGAATTCGGCAACAATGGGCTTACGTACACCCGGTTTTCCAGGAATCCGATATATGTCCCGGAGTGCTGCTGGTTGTGTATCCATATTAACAGCCTTCCCGATGTCTGCTAAAACAGAAATGAGGTCTTCGGGCTTTTCTCTCTCTTTGATTGGTACGTTCCAAATCTCGATTGTGGCCTGACGGGCCTGGAAGTGTATGTCTCATTTGATTTTCTAGGCTGACAATGTTTTCTCTGCTATTCTTTTCATCTTCTTCTAGATTTGTCATCGTACCTCTGATTTCTTCATATTTTTCATTGATGAAAGTTACACTTTTTTCAATTTCTTTGTTTGAGGCTTTGATTGAGAGGTATTGGTTTTTTAGGTCTGAAACGTCGTTGATAAGTTTCGTTAATATAACGTCTTGATCAGCTTTCTACGATGTGAGTCTCACGTCTTGTTCGGATTTCCAATTTGTGAGCATATCCAGGAGCTCTTTTTTGAGGTCTGTGCACGCTGCACATACGTATGAACTCACATTGAGTGGAGAGTCGTCAACACGTTGTCTCTTACTGCGCACAGAAATATTCGTATCGCCGATGGTGGAAATAGGAGCCTCCGTTGGCGCGAAGTCGGTATCACACTGGAATTGTCTGTGCGCTTGTGTTGGTTTTGTTGAAGATGGTGGCGGAGTCCTTTGCACAATCATTTTGTAAACAAGTTTTCTAAACGTTGTTTTCTTGTTTTTTCTTCTGTATGTTAAATAATGTATAAGTAACAAACCTATTCAAAAATTACTCCAAAAAATTGCAAAAAACAATTTTCACTAACTTGACCCACTGAGGTTTGAACCCACGATCACATCAGTTTAACGATCGGAGTGATACATGTAGCACATGGGCCACGATAACGTTAAGTTTTTGATCATAGCTTGATGATGAACTCAGTGTGTTGTTATAAGTTATCGCAAGTATTTGTATCACTAATAAGGTCAAGGTCCGATTTATGCAAAAGTTTTAAAATTTACTAGTACCTAAGTTACATTCACAGAAACTGCATATTTATAATATTTCAGTAGTTATTTCACCATGGTATTCCACACATTTGTCACTTTTTTGTTGAGGTAGGTGTCTGTATTAATTTTAAGGAGCTTTACACACTTTAAAGACTGATTTGCAATTTAAAAGATGACAGAACAAGAAGTACGTATGTGAGCGGTAGTGTCACGGACGGAACTGAAATATTGCGCATTATTCTTTGAGAATAATTTATTATATAACACATAAACATTGATTTACTTAATAAACATTTATCTATCTCGTCTGAAATTAATGACAACATTAAAGCTAATACTCTTAGATATATTTCTTCTACCCAAGCTCCCGACTATCCACCTTTCGTCTTTGATCAGTTGTCCGCTTGTGACGTTAAGAAAACCATTCTAGCGATTTCATCAAATGCAGTAGGGTGTGACTGTGTTAGCCGAAACATGATTCTTCCTATCCTAGACGAAATCCTATCCATCCTATGCAATATCCTGAATCACTCCGTGACAAGCGGTGTTTTTCCATCTGCATGGAAAGATGCTCAACTAATCCCTCTACCTAAAAAAGTTAAACCCTCTTCCTTTTCTGACCTTAGGCCTATTTCTATTTTACCTTTCTTGTCCAAAGTGCTTGATGAGCTGGAGCGTCTCATCCACTCTCAACTGAGTAGCTTCCTTTCCAAAAATTCTTTACTGAACCCCTTCCAATCCGGCTTTCGTCCTGGTCACAGCACAACTTCTGCATTAGTTCACATTACCGATAGTATCAGACTAGGCATGGATAGTGAAATGATTACAGTACTCGCCTTACTTGATTTTAGCAACGCTTTTAATACTGTAGATTTTCACATTGTGCTTGGTATACTGCGGTCTCTTAACGTATCTTTCCCCTTCCCTCCGGATCTCTGTGGCGATCAGACGTGTATCTTTGTTGTGTCTTTATTACTGTATTTTAAGTTTATTAATTGAAATGTGTTATAAAATCGATTGCATATAATAGGCGCACAGTGCATCCGTGGAGTTCAACGCAAGTAAATCATTTCGGAACCTACACACAAGAGTGAGTTCTTTTTTCTTCGCCTCATTAGAAACTTGTGCCTGTGTAAATAGTCGTCCACCATCAGTGCACTCTTTTGCTTGCTGTCCTCTACGCACCTTAATGAAGCATAATTGGTGTAAATACAATAGCGCACCGTTTTTTGTTTTGTTTTGCTCAAGGGGTCTCGTTTGAGTGGACGGAAAGCAATTTTGTACCAACCTGTCGATACGTGACCAGTTTTGTTGACCCCTCACACAATAAACGTTTGTTGTTTCTTCCCTGCAACTGAGGCGCCCTGGTACTTCGTCTTGCAATATGCCGATAAATAGATCGCCTCCTCTTACGGCTACAACTAAGTTATCGCTCACTACGCCGGTGTTAGCCCCGTTGCAACATAGTTCATCCGTGCCGAATATTGCAAGCGAGGATCGCGAGAAGCGTCCGGAATGTGACATTCCTAACATTACTCAACGTAATAAACGTAAGTGTTTGGATTTGGATTTGGATACCCAACACGACAACCAAATATCAGTTTTTATGTCTGAGATGAAAACCATGTTTCTTGAATTTAAGGAACAGCAGGATAAAAAAATTGAGAAGATTTACACATCAATTGAGGAGATTAAAGCCCAAAACGTGACTATTCAATCTACGGTCACTTTCTTGTCACAGAATTACGATGCGCTACAGGATAGAATCAATCAATTGGAGACACAACTTGTGACAGAAAGAGAAACTAATTTGTTGCATCTACAAAAATTGGAAGACAATCTTGAAAAAATGGAGCGGGGAGCTAGGTCTACATGTGTGGAAATAAGAAATATACCAGTTAAACCTCAGGAGTCCAAGGAATCTCTTGCTGCAATGGTTACCAGGATTGGTTCCCTCATAAATGTACCGGTGCAGGTTCATGACGTGAGGGATATCTTCCGCACTCGCTCAAAGGATGTTGATAGCAGGCCTATAATAGTGGAATTTACCACGAATCTACTTAAAGAGAAATTTATTTATATGCAAAGGAAATTTAATAAGGAAAACAAACTGTCTACCGAGCACCTGAGACTTGGTGGGCCGGCTAAACCAGTGTTTGTATCAGAAAATCTAACACCAAAAATGAAAAGGCTATTCTTCCTTGCCAGAGACTTTGCAAGTAGTAATCAATACCGGTACTGCTGGGTTACGAATGGCAAAATATATCTACGTGAAAAACAAGGAGCTCCGCACATTATGATTAAGTCTGAGTCTGACTTGCCCAAAAAGTGACTAGGATATTGTTATATGTGTTCCATTGCTTATCTATCGTTCATTATTATACGACCGATGTACACACTAACTTTAAAATTCACATTACATTACTCGAAATTCTCATACAATACAACAGGACAACACTTAGTCTCACCCTCTCACACATAACAATACACACCATGGAAATATTCTACTCTTATACTACTTACCCATAAAATGTTATTAAGACCTGCACTAACCTTAGATCATGGTCTGTGCCTAGTAATCCTGTATATAGGTAAATTGTTTGACTTTGTTTACCAAAATGGATGATAATTCTATAATTGCAAGTGATATTGAACGATTATCGGTTTCAGATTCCTATAATTGTTCACCCGAACAATGTGATGCATACTTGGAACGTACAATTGACGGTTTCAATATTTTTCATGTCAATATTCGTAGTGTCGGTAACAGTTGCAACTTCAATAATCTTCTAATTCTATTAAATAGGATAAAGGTTCAATTGCATATAATTATTTTGTCAGAGTGCTGGTTGTCCAAATGTCCCCACCTTCCTACTATACCTGGTTATGAGTCATTTCAATCTGATTTTCACAACCAAAATGAGGGAGTTGTTGTGTATATTAAATCAGATGTTCCTTTTATTGTCGAGTATCCAGGAGTTGCTGACGCGAATTGTCTCATAGTAAAACTACGAGAGGACACCGCACTTGTAGCTATTTATCGTTCACCATCTCACGTTAACCCACAAAACTTCATTTATAGCTTAGATATTACTCTTAACTCTCTAAAGACTTTTAAGACTATAGTGCTAATTGGTGACATAAATATAGATATATCACCAATAAATAGTGACAAACACTCTGACTTCTATCTTGACACACTTGCGTCACATGGCATGCTACCTGGCCATCTCTTTCCCACTCGTGAACAGAGATGTATTGATCACTCGGCCATCAAATCTAACAAGTCTGCTGTCACCTTGGTGCTGGACTCTTTTATTACAGACCATGCCCCTGTAATTATTTCTTGCGATTGTCACCTTCCCAGCTCTAAGGTCGCCACACAAAAACTTCGCATTGATGAAAAAGCTTGCGTGCTAGCTCTTGAACAGACGGACTTTTCTCGTGTTTTTGAATGTGACGATGCAAATAAAGCTGGGATGATGCACGTTCTTTTGCTGTATCTGCTCTGCAAACCATTATGAATTGGCTAGCCAATAACCTTCTTACACTCAACTTAGAAAAAACGAAATTCATCACTTTTTCTCCAAGAATTGCATCTCAGCCGCCCTCTTCTTTTTCCCTAAGTACCCACCTGTGTTCTACTACTCAAAACTGTAATTGTATTGCTATTAAACGCACAGATTTTATCAAATACCTTGGGGTGTACGTGGATAGTATGTTGACCTGGAAGGAGCAAATTAGATCATTGGTGCCAAGAGTTCGTAAATTAATATTTGTATTCAAACATTTAAGAACGGCTGCCAACCTACAAACACTGAAAATGGTTTATTTTGCTCTCGCTCACTCTATGTTGGCCTACTGTGTTACTGCATGGGGTGGCTCAGTAAAATCCTTAATGCTGCCATTGGAACGGTCGCAGCGGGCTGTGCTGAAAGTTATGACACGTAAGCCTATTCGTTTCCCAACCAAGGAGCTCTATGACCTATGTAAACTCCCTACAGTCAGACTCTCATTCTTGCTGAGCACCATACTGCGCAAGCATGCAGAATTGCCATTTGACGCGGTATCTATTTCACGGATACGGAGTTCGGATAGGGTGTGCCATATTGAGATGGCCAGGTTTGAGATCCTTAAGCGTCAATATCATTTTATTAGCCCTGTTATATACAACCGAGTAAATAGAATACTGAATGTCAATCCAGTTACGCTTAGGACTTGCAAGTTAGTTACAAATCAATGGCTGCACACCCTGAACTATGAAGAACTTGAACTTATGGCTAAACCACATAATTGCAAATAGAAATTTCCTCCAACACACACACACACACACACACACACACACACACACACACACACACACACACACATATATATATATATATATATATATATATGTGTGTGTGTATATATATATGTTGTGTATAAGGCTGTGTGTGTATATATATATATATACACACACAGCCTTACTAACAATTTATGATATGATTTGGTTTAGTTTTATTTTGTTAACTTATTTTATACTGTTATTAATGGAACTCTGACGGCCCCAGGCTGGAGGTGGCGTGGTTAATGTCTGCGACACAGTTCTTTTAACTAATGCAGACACTTTCGCATAAAATGTTACTGTTTCCTTTGTTCTAGTTTCCAATAAAGCGTTATTATTATTATTATTATTATCTCCAAGAACAATTGATTGGTTTCATAGTTACCTGTCTGGTCGCCGGCAACGTATTTGCATTGAAGACTCGGTGTCTTCCTGGTGCAGTATTTCTGCTGGTGTACCACAGGGTGGCGTTTTATCTCCTTTACTCTTCGCTGTTTTTATAAACTCCACCTCTAATCAGTTAAGTTCGTTCTATCACCTTTATGCAGACGATTTACAAATATATACACAAGCCCCGCTTACCTTGTTATCGGGGGCATTCAACAAAATCAATGCTGACCTATCGCGCATCGGTTACATCAGCCGGTCGCTGATGTCAAGTCTCGCGGCTCTGATCGGAGACGAGGGTCTTGGCTTAACCGCCCGGACCGCGAGGAAGAAAACCTCTCTAAAAAATTTCCCGAATCCCGTGTTCTGGTGCGTGGCCAGGGGATGCATGGCTGATGGGTAGTTCAGTCGTAAGCGCACTCCCAGCCGGGGCACTTGCGGACCCCTCGGTTGGGCATAAATTTACGCTTGAGGTCCCCCAGTTGAGATCCCCCAATACCCGGGATTGGGGGATCTCTGCCCGGGTGGACCTTTAGTTCTCCCCCACTCGTGGGTTCAATTATGGAAGATAAAATTAAAAACAAAGGATCGAAAATAACAACGACAAAGGCGAGCAAAATGGCACAGGAAACGGTGGGATGCAAGGAGAAGGACGAATCGAAGAGGAGGAGTGGTGGAGTGGATCTGGCGTCCACTGAGGGTGAGGTGGTGTCGAGAACACCTATCTCGGTGGGGCTCCCAGTAGTAGTCTGTAGTAGACTGACTGCTGGGAGCCGAAGATCGGAGCGTTTGCGCTCCAAATCTGCCACGTCTGGCGAGAGTGGCGGCTCCAGCGAGAGCATGGAGGTGGAGGCGGGTCCGAGCGAGAGCCGGAAACGCGAACTCTCGCGGGATGGGGAAGATAACCCCTCCGTGGAGTCTGGGCCTCCTAAGGGCGGCCGCATAGGGAGGTCGCGTACCCCTGTCCCCGTCCCGTCAGGGTCCGCCTTCTCAAAGGCGGATTCCTATAGACGGGTACGAGCGGACGGCGAGGCCGTAGCGGAGGAGGAGATCGCGGGTCTCCTACTCAAGATTCCGGAGCCGGTGGAGGGAGATGCCCCCCTGGCGCCTGTGTCTGTGCAGGAGAGGGCGAGAGCGGCGGTGGCCATTATTCAGAAGGTAGCCACCAAGTCGGTTAACCTTAAGGGCTCTTTTGTGAGGGCCCTTAAGGACTCCTCCTCCGCTATGTCGGAGGTCGTGGAGGGCCTAGTAGGCGATGTGTCTCGCCTACAGATGGCCAATGACAGGCTGACGGAGCGGGTGAACGAGTTGAGCGCTCAGTTCGCCCGCTTCCGGGCGAACCTCCCCGAGCGGGGGGTCGCGTCCACGCCCCAGCCTGTCAGTAACGCGACCTCAGGGGTACCTGACGCCCAACTGCGGTCAATTCTTGACGCAGTTGGGCGTATGCTGGACGGCCGTCTGGCCGGTCTGGAGGCGAGACTGCCCCCTGCGCCGGTCGTGCGCCCCCCGCTCGCGTCGTCGCAGCGGCCTAAGGCTGCTGCTCCGACTGCGCTCCCTGTTGTGGGAGGCGGCGTCGGCGTCGGCCCCGACTCGGCTCCCCAGGGGCCGAGGAGAGGGGCCAAGGCACCGGCCCAGGCGCCAGTCAAGGCGCCGGCCCAGGCACCGGCCAAGGTGCCGGCCAAGACTAAAGCGGCGAAGAGGAGCGGAGTGGCTTTCCCTCCGCTCCCCACTCCGACATCTCTGCCGGGCCCCTCCGCACCTGCCCCCTCCAACAAGAAGGCTCAAAGAAGTCCCGAAGGCGGGCTAGAAGGGCTGTTCAGAAAGCAGCCCAAGCCCAGCCTTCGCCACCGGTGGCAACGGCCTCTAAAAAGAGGCCGCGGAAGCTGCAGCCGCCGAAAACCGCGGCTGTAGTCCGTCACGTTGTCGCCGGAGGCGGCCAGTGGCGGGTTCACGTACGCGGCCCACTTCAAGGGGGCCCGTCCCGGTCTCGCCACTGAGTTCGGGACGGCAGGGATGAGGTTGCGCCGCGCCCAGACGGGAGCTCGGGTTTTCGAGTTCCCTGGGGCTGAAGGCGCGGTGACGACCGACAAATTCGCCGAGAAGCTGCGGGGAATTTTCGCCACCACGGACGGTGTGAAGATCGCCAGGCCCACCAAATGCGCAGAACTGCGCATCTCGGGCCTGGACGACTCCATCACGTCGGAGGATGTCCGCGATGCAGGCAGTCATCGAGAAGACTGGGTGCACCGCGGACACCATCAGAGTCGGCACCGTCCGTCCGGGTCCGGGAGGCCTCGGTGCGGTGTGGGTCAGCTGTCCCGTGGCGTCGGCTAAAGCGTTGGGCGACGCCGGAAGCATGCTCGTCGGCTTCGTGAATGCCAGAATCACGGTTCTGGCCGCGAGGCCGATGGGGTGCTTCAAGTGCCTAGCCGCGGGACACACTCGCACCAAGTGCGAGGGCTGTTTTGACTGCAGCGGTTTATGCTTCCGCTGCGGTCAACCCGGGCACAAGGCGGCAGAGTGCTCTGCCGCCCCTCACTGCCCCGTGTGTGCGGCGGCTAAAAAGCCCGCCAATCACATGATGGGGCAGGGGGGCTGCTGAGGAGGTTGTAGAGACGATCCAGTAATGGATCAAGTATCCAACCTCCTGGTCCAGACGAATCTGAACCACTGTGCTGCGGCGCAGGGTCTCTTCCTGCAAACCATGGCACAGTGGTCGATAGGTGTTGCCGTAGTCGCGGAGCCCTATTTTGTCCCTCCCCGTCCAAACTGGATAGGTGACCGGGACGGCTCCGTGGCAGTCGTCGGCTCCACGGCGGCTCATTCCCCGCCCTTGTCGCTTAGAGACAAGGGTACTGGATATGTTGCCGCCGATTGGGGGGGAATCACCATTTATAGTGTATATTTCTCCCCCCACCGGAGTTTGAACGACTTCGAGGTCTTCCTTAACAACTTGGAGGCCTCGATGCGGCGACTAGTGTCTGGGCACGTCCTCGTGCTGGGGGACTTCAACGCAAAGTCCATTGCGTGGGGTTCCCCTGCGACGGATGCCAGGGGCGAAGCCGTCGGGGAGTGGGCGGCGTCGGTGGGCCTCTGTTTGCTGAACAGAGGCTCCACCAACACGTGCGTGCGACAGCAGGGGGGGTCGATAGTGGACCTTTCGTTCGTTACCCCTGCAGTCGCCGCACGAGTAAGGAACTGGTGTGTCCTGGAAGAGGTGGAGACGCTCTCGGATCATTTGAACATCCGATTCGAGCTCTCCCGGTCCCAGGACTCCAGTAGGGGTCACACGGCGCGGCGCCCTTCCCGCTTCCCGCGGTGGGCTGTCGCCAAGCTCGACAGGGACCTACTAGAGGAGGCGGCCATTATTCACTCTTGGCTGTCTCCGCAGGCCCCGACCGAGGAGGTCGACATGGGGGCTGGTCGCTTGGTTCTTGATCCGCTTGGTGATGTTCTCCTCCACGGTACGTTCGGTGTTCGCGGAATCACTGCTATCAGTCATGTTCTTAGCGGGGTCACCAGTATAGTACTTACGGCACAGGTATGTGAGAAAAGAAAAATAAAAGTTCGTTTCGGAGGTAGAAAGACGAAATTAATTTGATACATAGAACACACATACACCAAAGAAAGTCAGTTAAAAAGTACCACAAAGATAGAAGGAGCAAATAGGAAACGATAGCACAATAGATTGAAACAATTTACACAATAAGAATTAAGATTATTCGCGACACGACAACGCGTACGGAGCGGGGCGGTGGTTAGACGGGCGACGCGAGTTACAAGCGCTGGCGTTCGTGGCCGACTAAAGAGCCTCGCGTGGGCGTGGCGCTGCGCTAGCGCATTCTTGTGGTTACAGCGGTGCGCCGCGCTCAAAGCAGAGGCGCCCGCGCGAGTAAGTGTTCTATAGTGGTTAATGTATGTATTTGTGTATATACACGGTGATTTTGAAAGCGTTTTGGAAAAGAAAATTTTGAGTTATTCATCAGTAACAGAAGCTATATATAACGTTAATTTAATAAAATATATATATTTTTTATCATCAAAGTCGATATTCATATCGATTACAGAGAAAAGGTGAGAACCAGTAGTAGGGCTTTTCAATCGCAAGTAGGTAAATACTACGAATAGAAATACTATACTCACGCGCAAGGTCAAGGACGTTTAAATTATTATTCGCCGGAGTGTAGTGCGTGCATACCTGGACAATGAGTTTAGTGATCGGTGGATAGGTCGAGGAGGGCCAGTGCCTTGGCCACCTAGAAGCCCGGACTTAACGCCCCTGGATTTTTTCTTATGGTCGGAAATGAAAATACTTGTTTATACACTTGATAAAGTGAAAAGTGATAGAGACACATTAAGAAAATTAAAAAACAATTGCATTAAACGTGGACGTTTGTGTATTGAATGCAGCGGACTCCATTTTGAGCAGTTGCTTCGTACAGAGAAGTGTAAATAGTGTAAATAGGTATGTAAGTTAATTATTCTGTAGATAGCTCCGATTTTTTAAATACGCTTGAATTATTTATACCTACAGTCCGTTGATAAATTGATTTGTTGTGAAAAGAACAATCGTGGTTAATAATCGAAAAGAAGTCTAAATAAAATAGGTATTTCCGACGATCCTAAGCCCGTGTAAAGTATGAAGGACAAATTGGAGTCTATCTACGTAAGTACTCGCTAGCTCGCGCCTATAGGTATACTTTTATCAGCTGCTGTTAGCGTCAGCGGTGCGCAGCGGCGCCGAAACGCCCACGGACGTGTTTCATTCATATAAGATAATGAATGAATGATCAGTCCATTACTACTTTCCAAGTCGATCGAGTAAAAATGAATATTAAAACTGAACTGAACTTTTTTTTAGACAACATTACAATTGATTTAATCATTTTTATTGGTACTATAGATGATTCCAAATTAAAATGTTTCGTTTCCAAAACGCCTAAAAAATCACCGTGTATATATAATTTTGGCATATATTATAAATATTGGTGTATGCGTAGGCTACAAAGTTGTCGTTTTAGTTCGAGTCCCGGCATCCAGACTGCTTCCGATATTCTTCAGTGGCGACGAGGACATCGAATTCTACGTACGATTTAGAACCTAATAGGTATTAGAAATAAAAAATAATAATAATAACAATGTCGATCGGTAAAATCACGGAGTTCAAAGTGCACAGTGATGACTGGCGATTATATGTCGAACGTTTAGAGCAATATTTCTTGGTAAACAAGATTCTGGAAGAATTACAAGTGCCGAAATTAATAACTGTAATGGGCGCGGAGTGTTACGAACTTTTAGTGAATTTGTGTACACCTGACAAACTGAAAAAAAAATCATTTTTACAAATAACGGACATTTTAGAAAAAGATTTTCAACCAAAGCCAAGTGTGTTATCCGAGCGGTATAAGTTTCGACTTAGAAAACAAAAACAGGGTGAAACTATATCGGAGTACATAGCGGTTCTAAAGAAAATGTTTAAAACGTGCGAATTTGGGGAGTGGTTAGAGGATAGTCTGAGGGATCAGTTAGTCTGTGGCATAGTTAACGAAGGTATTCGACAACGTTTGTTCGCCGAAAATAAATTTGATTTCGGTAAAGCATATAGGTTAGCCGTCAGCTGGGAGGCAGCGGTAAAGGACGCGGCGGCGGTAGAGGGACGCGGAGGGGTGTCGAGCCAGGCGACCGCGACGACGTCGGTGACTTGTCAAGCGATGGTGGCGACGCAAATGAGAGCTCGTTGGAAGGGCGCTGCGCATAACGGCAGCAGAGCGATGCAGCATGCGACCGCGTACAGACATCGGCCGCTTCCACGACGCTGGGTGAGCGGGCTCAGCAGCAGTGCCAGGCATGTGGCGCGCGATACGACGCAAACAAGTGCAAATTTTCGCGTTATGTTTGCCGAGTATGCAACCGGCAGGGACATGTGCGTCGTATGTGCCCCAACCTATCGGCGTATCATAACGTCGAAGTGGCGCATATAAGGAACCAGTACTCGAGCGATAGCGCGGAAAGCGATGAGGTAATATTTGTTGATGTTTGCAAGTTATCCGCTGCTCAGTGTAAACCTATGTGTGTGTGTGTGTAAATGGTAAAGACATGGAAATGGAGTGCGACACGGGCAGCGCTGTGTCATGTATAAGTTGGGACTGTTACATTAAACTGTTCAAATATTTAAGGGTGGAACCGTGTCCATTAACGCTTAGATATTACACGGGCGAGTCAGTCAAACCTCTGGGAGTAATACGGCCTCTTGTAAAATATAAAGATGAATGTAAGAAATTAGAATTGTTGGTAACTGGAAATGGAAAAACTATTATTTTAGGGCGACAATGGATGGCGGAATTAAAAATCCAATTGCCAGTAGTACGCTACGAGTGTAATAATGTTAATATTAAAGATAATTTATTTGATATGTCTACCCGCAGTTCCAGATACTGTAAGGCGTTCGCTGATGGTTTGGGCCGATTCACGGGAGGCACGGTGAGCATTCACGTCCGCGAAGGGGCACGACCGGTGTTCATGCGCGCTCGCCCACTCGCGCTGGCTTTACGGGAGCCAGTGGAACGCGCCCTGGCCCAGATTCAGCGCGACGGCATCCTCTCACCAGTGGAGCGCTCCGACTGTGCGACACCTATCGTACCGGTGGTTAAAAAGGACGGTAATATAAGAATTTGTGCAGTGTGATGTAGTAGATGTAAGATAGATATAAGAGAAACTATAAAACAATGTATTGATTCGAATTATAGTCAGTCTTGCATTCACATTCAACTGAGTATTATTTACATAGACTCCCAACGTCACATGGCGACCCTGCCATAAAAGGCGCGTGCGCGCGTCCTGTGTGGTCCGTTAAGATACAGAGTACTCGAATTTCTATTTGTCGCGATGGCAGAACATTTTGTGCGGTATCTAAGACCGGTATCTTACATCTTTCGGCAAATATACAAGGTCAAAATGGGTGGTAGGTAGTCTAAAGACGAGGTCATCCTTGCGCAGAACGCTGCTGGAGCGGCCACAAACAATATTGGGTACCATCTAAGCATCACAAATATTTTGCTAATTTTGATGACAACGTTGCTGTGCTGTGCTGCACTTTTTGGCATTTACAAGATCTATCGCAAATGCCATTTAGACTGGATGAGGCAAGAAATAGACCATAGGTCGTTGCAAAGACAGCTGTCCTTATTCCGGCGAGAGGCTCGCAGGGGTTTTAAAGAAGAAACCGCATAATGCTGGGCATTGTAAGGCAGTACGAAATACGTCTATTAATACAAATGTGCGGTAAGAAAAAGTGTCAAAGTGCATAAAAATAAAAAAGTAATAATAATTAAAAAAAGAAAAGTGCGGTGCAAAGTGGAAGTGCCTTAAAAAAAAAAAAAATTGTGTTAGTGTTAGTAATGTGCGGAAAGTGACAATAGTTATCTAAATCGGGTAAAAGCAGACACAGGACACGTTTTAATCTTAATTTACTTCTTTTTTTTAGAGCATAATATATGCTACCTAAGTACCCAAGTAAAAAAAAAATGTGTAATCTTTTTATAATTTAATACTAATTTCTTCTATTGTTATGCATATGATTACTATGTTATGGCCGATTTATTAAAAGAGTTGCTTGATGAATTATTAAATATGAAAACATACTTGGTGAAAATCAGACCATCTCGTAGAAAAGGTGATGTACTCGTAAAAAAGCTTGGTGAGGCCAATTTAATAAATACTAAGTATAGTGAAAGCCTCAAAAATATTAATGAATCTATTAATTTAGGCAGACTTTCAAAAGACGAGCGTCTCTTAATAAATGAATATTGTTCAAAGTTTAAAAACATATATTCTAAAATAATAGAACTTTGTAGTGAGTGCCCTATTATCAAAACTGTAACCATGGAATTTAACTTGAAGATTGCGTTAAGCCTATTGCCTACTACTGAGAAATTGATCGATGGCATCGAGTATTATAGCACTACTCTTACAAATGAGTCACGAATTGATCTTATTAACTTTGTATTAAAAATCGGTTAAATCACTCAGCAAAATTATGTTTGTGTCGCACCTATCCCACAATAGATGAATTATTACAAGATATGCGAAAGCATTTATTACCTAAAAAATCCGCTTCCGCCATGCAAGCAAAGTTACAATCTTTTAGACAAAACGATTTGTCTATCAACGATTATGGCCAAAAAATGACCGAATTATTCGTTGATCTTACGAGTACAATTACGCAAGCTAATGGAAACGACAATAACTATAGTGTTCTGAAGTCTGTAAACGAGCAGCAAGCTATAAAGCGCTTTGCGGATAGCTTACGTAATCGAAGGATTAGCACTATCATTGCAGCTCGCAATTTTGAGTCCTTGAAGGACGCCATACAGGCCGCCATAGACGAGGAGGTGGCTACACCTTCCACGTCAGACGGTATTTTGTCAATGAGTCGTAATAATAATTTTAATTACAGACAAGGTCGTGGGCGTTTTAACTTCAACCAGAACTATCGCGGTAGAAGTACGCCAAATCAAAGAGGTAACTCGAGTTATTACTCGCATGGTGCTCATGCAGCTTTTTCTGCTCGTGAATGGAGTCAAGGACATCGTGGACCCCGAGGTGATTCGAGGTCGAGGCCTTCATTTAGAGGTAAATACTATCGTAATAGCAATTTTGGCAATCAAGGATGCATTCCCAACATTTGAATGTTTGACAAAAAGTCAACGCCAATCCCAAACAGTAGATAACGTGGTAAACGAAAACAAGTTTTTTCGTACCTAAAGATTTTCTTTTTACTTGTGATCATAATTCACTTTCAATTAAATTCAACATTAGCGGTGCATGTACTCTGGATTGGTTACTTGATACGGGCGCATCAATTTCAGCCATAGAACATAAACATATTCATGCACACAACATTCCTTTCCATATAGAGAAGACTGTTATTAGAGGTATTGGCGGTAATATAGAAGCTATTGGACACGTTTGTTTAGATTTACAAGCGAAAGGCAATACATTTAGTCACAAGTTCTATGTATTCCATACCTTACCTTGTAAGGCAAGTGGTATTATTGGTAGTGACTTTTTAAATAACTACTCTGCTATAATGAATTACGAGACGAGTTCGTTATCATTATTAAACATAAATAATGAAAGAATATATCTTTCGACTTTGCGACATAATTATGATGATTGTTTATTCATTCCGTCGAGATCAGAATCTATTCATTTTATCAATACTAAATTTAAAGGAGACGGTGTAGTTTATTCAAAAGAGTTGCGTGATGGAGTTTTTTTAGCGAATTCAATAGTGACGCCGCGTGATGGGAAAATCCCTGTTAAGATATTAAATAGTACGGAAAAAGACTTAACTTTAAAAGATATTGTACCGATTATACATAGCGTGGAAAATTTCAATATGTGCGTTTAAAAAATGTGAGAGAAATTCTGAAAGAGTTGAAAGAGATGAAAGAAAGAGTTTTATGTGTCATGACTAGACTTCAAAAAAGACGATTAGAAACGAATCCTTCGGTGGACATGCGTATCTCTGACACTTGGCCCGATCAACCAAAAGTCGTGGAAACGTATGTCAAACCGAGAGAATCCGTTGAAATGATATTTGTAAGTAGAAATGAACTAGATAAGTTAAGAATTACGGAAAAAATAGAGAAGGAAAGTAAAATATTCTTATATATTCCTAGGAAAAAAGAGATATTAATTAACCCAGCTTCTCAATCGCAACTCACGCCAGGCGCTTTTGTGAGAGAGCTTTGAGAGTTTTGTAAACTTTTGAATATGGAAGAAATATATTTTATGAAAAATAATAATAATGATATATTTGTAAAGAAATTGACAAATGAAATAAATAATAATAATAGGTGGTCCGGACCCCGTTTAATAATTTTAAAAAATGTCAAAAGAATTGACAATGTAGATGATAGAAAGGTAGTACTCAATGATTTCCACCTTTTGCCCACAAGTGGCCACGCCGTAGGCCACGCATAAGGCGGATGTATAACAATATAAAAAAATATTATTACTGGTCAGGTCTTGAGAATGATATAAAAACGTTTGTAGGAAAATGTGAACAGTGTCAAAAACAAAAATACTCAATAAAAACAAAAGAACCTATAATAATAATAATAATAATAATTTTATTTTCAGACATATACAGTCAATAGGTTGTTTAGTAATGGGTTAGAAACAGAAAGTACTTAACGTCTAACCTATGACTGTCACAACGACCGCTGGGTCAGCATTCGAAAAGATATTTTTGGACATTATAGGACCCTTAACGAGAGACGATGACAATTACGTGTATATACTAAGTTTGCAATGCGAATTGACTAAGTATGTAGAAGTATATCCTATGATTACCAAAACTTCATCAGAAATTGCCAGAGTTTTTGTGAATAATTTCATTCTTAGGTACGGCATACCGATGGAAATAGCGACTGACAGAGGTGCTGAGTTCACATCCGAATTGTTTAAAGAGGTTTGTCAAATTTTACGTATTAAACATCTTCAATCAACAGCGTATCACTACCAGACTATAGGTGCGTTGGAAAATACTCACAAAAACTTAGGTATGTATCTTAGAATTCAAACGGATAATCACCCAGATACATGGAGCAGGTGGTTACCTTTCTGGTGTTTTTCATATAACACCTCAGTTCATTCTCAAACTCGTTTTACACCGTTTGAATTGGTTTTCGGTAAGAGATGCATTTTACCTTCGAACTTAAATAATTTAACTGTAGATCCTATTTATAATTATGAACACTATCCCACAGAGTTAAAATACAGAATGCAAACTTCATTACGAGAAGCCCGTCAAAATTTAATACAAAGCAAATAGATTAGAAAAATAAAACATGACTCTAGCATTAATCCCGTTACATACAAACCAAACGATTTAATATTATTGAAAAATGAAACCGGCAATAAGCTTGATGCTATCTATTTAGGCCCTTATCTTGTAGTTCGTGACTTGACACCAAATGTGGAAATTATTAAAAATGGAAAATTAGCTATTGTTCACAAGAACCGAACGAAACTGTTTATAAATAAATAACAATACCAATGTATGAATTTGTGTTTACTAATAAATTGCGTAATTAAAATCATTTTATACACTCTTTAATCTTATATTATTACATTTTTTTTTGTTAATTACTTTTAGTTTTATTATATTGTTTATACAATTCATATAAAGGAACATGTATGTACTCAAGGTACACATATATTATGTTTACTTCATAAATTTATTGTAGTGATTTTTTTTTTTAGCCCTCCCCCGGAGGTGTGATGTAGTAGATATAAGATAGATATAAGAGAAACTATAAAACAATGTATTGATTCGAATTATAGTCAGTCTTGCATTCACATTCAACTGAGTATTATTTATATAGACTCCCAACGTCACAGCAGATTATAAATTAACCTTAAACAAGGTTATAGAAGTTGACCGTTATCCCTTATCTAGGATTGAAGAATTGTTGCTCCGTTTAAGAGGAGGGGAATACTTTAGTAAAATAGATCTGTCGCAAGCATACGCCCAATTCGAATTTGACGAAAGTAAGAAATATACAGTTATAAATACCCGGTACCTACTGAAGCGCGCGTTCCTAGGCCTTGTATTATTGCCCATCCCACTACGGAACGCTTAGCGGACTATGCGACCTCGTCAGCAACAAAACAAG